AGCATCATTTTGACTTCAAATTCACATCAAAGGCTCTACAGTGTCTGTAGATGATCTAGCCAAAGTATGAAGATTAACTATTGTGTGCTTCTAGAAATTCATTGAGAACGAGCACCCACGATTGAAATATACGTAGAAGAGCGAGGGTGGCGAACTAAGGGTCACTCTTTATACTATAGAATTTGCATGCAATGTACATCATAATCATGAAAAAATAATCATAGAAACCTATAATTCCGAAAAACGTATGGGAAACTTTTATCAGAAAGATTACCGACTCACCTCTGACCTTCGCCATTTCACTTATTTTGCGTCCTTTCCACTTCCGTTATATTTTCAAGCAAAAGTAATAACATATTTGAGATCAGCAGACAAAACTCGGTCTAACAGCATACTTAACATTCGGTTTTCAAACAAACAAAATTTTATTCATAATTTTCTCTCTAGTGGAAAGACCAGACGTATATATACGTCTCCCGTCGCCAAAGGGTTGATACTCGATGTTTTTCCACAATAACTTTATCTTTTGACTCCAAAAAGTGGATGCTACTCCACAAGAACTTCAACCTTTCTCCCGAAGAACGTCATGGTATCTGTTGAGAAAGAGGACGCTTTACCACAAGAAGTTTACGTTTTCTTGAAAAAGTAGACGCTTGTCCACGAGAACTGAATCCTTTCTCTTGAAAAAGTCGCTTCTCCAAAATAACTTTTTCTTTTGTCGTAAAAGTAAACGCTTGTCAAAAAGAAACTTTATCTTTTCTCTCGAAGAACGGCATGCTTTTCCACAAAAACTTCATCTTTACTATTGAGAAAGCGGTTGCTTGTCCACAACAACTTCATGTTTTCTCTTGAAAAAGTGGATGCTCTACTACAAGAAGTTTACCTTTCCTCTTGAAAAAGTGGACGCTTGTCTACAAGAACTGCATCCTTTCATCATCTTGTCTCTTGAAAAATGTTTCTTCATAAACAGTTCATCTTTTCTAGTGCAGAACGTCATGTTTTCTCTTGAAGAACTTGTTGCTTCTGCACTAGAAGTTCATCTATTCTCCTGAAGAACTGCATGCTTTTCGAGAAGCATCCACTTTTTCAAGAGACAAGATGAAGGTCTGCTGCAAAGACATCAACTTTTTCAAGAGACAAAATGATGTTCTTGTGGACAAGCATGCTGTTCCTCGTGAGAAGAGATGAAGCTATTGTGGGGAAGCATCCACTTTCTCAGGACTAAAGATCCAGTTGTTGTGTAGAAACATCCAGTTTTTCCGTAGAAAAGATAAAGTTCTTCTGGAGAGACGGAGTGTTTCGCGAGAGAAAAGATGAAGTTCGTCTTTTTTCTTGAAAAAGTGGATGCCCCTCCACAAAAAGTTCATCTTTTCACATGAGGAATAGCATGTTTCTCCAGAAGACCTTCATCTTGTTTTCTGAAAAAGTGGATGCTTTTCCACAAAAACGTTACCTTTTCTCTTGAAAAAGGGTATCCTTCTCCACAAGAACTACATCTATTCTCCAAACAAACTGGATGCTTCTCCAGAAACACATCATCTTGTCACTTGAAAAACCGAGTTTCTCCACAAGAACTTCATGTTGTCTCTTGAAAAACGGGATGCTTATCCACAAGAACTTTATCTTTTTTCTGGAAAAACTCGACGTCTATGCAAGAGAACTTCACGTTGTCTGTTGAAGAACTGGTGCTTCTCCAGAACAACTTCATCTTTTCTCCTGAAAAACTGGATGTTTCTCCACAAGAACTTCATCTTTTCTGCTGTAAAAGTGGATGCTTCTGTACAAGAACTTCAGCTTGTCTCTTGAAAAAGTAGATGCTTCCCGAAAAAAACTTCATTTTTTCTCATGAGGAACAGCATGCTCCTGCACAAGAACTTCATTTTTTCTTCAGAAGTACTGAACGCTTCTCAAGAGGAACTTCAACTTTTCTGCTGGAAAACTGGATGTTCCTCTACAAGAGCTTCATCTGTTCTCATGAAGAACTCGAATTCCACAAGAACTTCATCCTCTCTCGCGAAAAACTGGATTTTTCGTCACAACACCTTCATCCTTTGCCCCGAAGAACTACATGCTTCTCCACAAGAACGTCATATTTTCTCCTGAAAAAGTGGATACTGTTGAACAAGAACTTCATCTGTTCTCTCTGAAAACTCCACGTCTCTCCACAAGAACATGGATCTACACACTTTCTACACAAGAACTGGATCTTTTCTCCGGAAAAAGTGGATACTGTTGAACAAGAACTTCATCTGTTCTCTCTGAAAACTCCACGTCTCTCCACAAGAACATGGATCTACACACTTTCTACACAAGAACTGGATCTTTTCTCCGGAAAAAGCGGATGCTTCTCCGCAAGAACTTCATCTTTTGGCCGGAGAAACTATCTATTTCTTCGAAGAATTTTGTCTTTTTTGCTGAAAAGCTTGATATTTCTTCACACGAACTTCATCAGTTCCTCCTGAAAAACTACATGTTTCTACATCAGAAGTTCATCTTGTCTCTTGAAAAACTAGACGGCGATGTTGAAGCACAGAAGCATATTTTAGTAATCAGGCGCTTATCCATAAATTTCTTTGTAATACGTGACTTGCGTGACTTTTCTCAATTTAGAATAGATATGAAGCACATTTTGTGTCAGGTTCGTGATTCGTTAATTATTAATAAACGATGTGATGTACACATATGGAGAGGATGAATAATACGGCAGATAAATTTGATTCTACTTAATAGCTTTTTTTTGTTTCTTGAAAAAATGACATTATGACGATACTTGACGAGTTATAGCCGGTACGACACTCATCCAAATATTTGATGATTAGTAGGAAGGGTGTTGTTATGTTAAATGGCAAAACATTTTCAAAATAAATTTTAATATCGTCATCGCTATCTTTTTTATTAGTAAAAACTGGACATGTATAACTTATACTGTTGTCGCTTTTTTCTGTCTTTAGCTATGCTCATGTACAAGATTTTGATAAACAATTGATAAAATTATTTTGTGAAATGAATTCAAACTTTCAAACTGCGGTATAATACAGACACTAAATAAACGTTATCTTGGTCATGTACTTTTGGCACGTAGTCCTGTTCAACACACTTTATCAAGTGCACTCTACACCACAATCGAACTTAATTCATTCATACGATGGCACTGATTTTTATTCGATGAGAACACGAATAATGTTTGCAGGACTACACGATAATGTGTTTTGATCCATATGAAGACTAATAAGACGAATTTTAAAAAATAAAAAAATCACATAGACTAACAGTTTATGACTAAAGTATAGAAATTATTAAAACATTTTTGAACTAACTAGCGCTCAATCAGTTTCAATAAAGTATTTATATCAGTAAGCAGTATTAAATAGACGATGCTATGTCTAAGAACTTTTATAAATATTCGAAACTAAATTTTGTTCTAAAGTATAAAATACATAATCTTTTTCAAAAGTAACTTGAAGAGGCAAACAAGAGAAAAGGTAAAAAATGAAACGTTCTACAATACTTCCCAGAATTATGTCAAAGTTTCAGTCTAAAAGAGTATAGTGGAAGGATTTTATTTATTTTTTATCTAAGATAAGCAAACTTAAATAGAAGTCAGAACTCTCTATGTATCAGCTATAAACGAAGTATTAGCAGATTGTGAAACTAAAATAACAAGTACAAACGATAATAACCGCTTGTGGAGAGGAGCAGTCGAATGTATAATATTATCGGGTGAAAAATATACCAGAGATGATTTGAAAACACCATGAATGAATATGAGACACTTCGGTTTCAATATGAAACATACATTGAATAATGATTAAAAATTAAAATTTCAAAATAAAATCGATCAAATATAAAAATAATTAGAAATAATAAAATCTTTTGTTGATAAATGTGGATATAATGCAGAAATAAAGGAAATTGAAAGACTAGATGTTTATAATGACCTTCAAGGTCTCCCATTCACGTTCTCTACGAGACGCTTTAATATTAGATACTAAATAATTTGTTATTGTTAATTTCTATTTTTATTATCGCCTAAGATACGAATAAATTTTTTTCATCAAATTGTCACGTGACGGACAGAGAATTTAGTAAACAAACAAATGTACAAACAGAGAGAATATAAATAACACTATGTACAAACAAAGAATACGGTAACATATATTTTCTAAAAAAACCAAAAGAAACTTAATAAACAAGAAAGCACAAAATAGAAGAACAACAATATTGTTTCGACAAAGAAACATCAATAGTGCTAAAAATAAAACGAGATGTATACAGAGAGAAGATATTTGACGCCAATATTAAAAAACAAAAATTAAACTATTTGAATAATTTTCGACTACTACCATTGTTTAGAGAAGATTTTGGTGTGAATGACGATTGAGAATAGGTATCGCTTGAGTCATCAAAATGACGAAAGCTAAAATATAAAAATAAAACAATGAAAAATAAACTGAATTTTAGAGAATCAAAGATAACTTTATCAAGATACTAACTGATAAATTAGTACGAGCTCACATATCCAGAATATTGACCGAAAATGGGTCTAATGTTTATACTGTTTTAGTTGGTGTAATAATGTGCTTATGAAATGTATTATATTACATCATTGTTTGTCTAACGATGTAACTGTTTCATACGGCATTAGTTGCTTAACGCAATTTTAAGGCAAAACTGTTTGTTGTTATTATAATAGCAACGGTAAAAGTGTGACAATAAGTGTCTGCATGGAATTGGAGAGAGCATAATTTCGAAAACAAATTAAAACATAATCGTACCTTACCGTCCATTTGTAATTAAATCACGTTTCCGTGTCGCATATTCAGTCGAGCTTTTCTACAAATAAAATAATCTATCAGTGTGATCAGACCCAAAAGTAAATATCATACAAAAACCATTAAAATAGCATCACATTGAAAAAATAATGAATAATGCAATTATTCAAATGACTGACAACGATACAATAGAGTTCATATATATGAGGAATAGTTAATAAAAGCATGCAAACATAATACATTCGTATTCCAAAAACTATCTATCAAAGTATTCATTTTGTTTAATTCAAATATCTATCATCAGAGAAAGTTTTTGTCTATAATTCATATGTGTACGTACTCGTTTTTTGGTTTCATGTAATTGTAATTGTTGATCGTTAGCATTGGGCGGCGTATGTGATCGTGTTCGTGATGCTACCGACGACGTACTCTCATCTATTTCTATTTCATTACCTTGCTCTTGTTCATCTTCAGTCTCATCTTCATTTTGATCTTCTTCACTTTCTGATTCATCGCGTGAATTGTAATCTATATTACTTTCGTCAGTTGAGCTAAAAATCAAGTAATTTGATGAGCAAGCAATAATCGACAGATTAAGTAAAATACAACATACTCTAGATTATAATTCAATTCAATACCATGTTGAGGATGACTATGACTATGACCATTCATTTTTGAACGCTGTAATAAAAATTTAAATTACGTTAAAATTATTATTTTTGTCTAGTTTCGTCTGATATTGTTGGTTGGGATGGAGGATAAAGATGAATGAAGTTTAGTTTATGAATGTATTCAAATACTGAGCTAGCATAAATCGTTGACATATTCTGAGTTTCAGAAGAAATTGAATGAGTGACTATTCCCAAAACTAAGTTGAAAGTACAGTATTCTTGAAAGATTGACTTTTTGACAATGAGAAGGGTACTGTCGAGACGCTAATTATTAAATTGAATTAACATACTGTGCATATTTGATGACAATTTTCTGTCATATCTCTGCTACCATCATTTGTCATTTCTTCATCTTCTTCATCTTCTAGTTTAATTTGTCGTTGTTTCCGTTTTGTTTCATTATTATTTTCTTGTTTCATAGCTGTTATCGTTCGTCTTCTTAAATATTTTGGCGATAATGGCAGTTCATCTTCATCATCTGACTCTTCAGAGTGCAGTGATAATTTTCGATGTTGACTCCGAGATCGTGTTTCAATTTGTTGACTATTTGATTCCTCATCATCATCATCATCCTCTTTTAAAATTTTAGCTCGTCTCCGTAAACGTTTTTGACTTGTCGTAGTTGTTGATACATTATCATCAAGTTCTTCGTTAGCAGGAAACAATTGAGATTGAGGCTTTTTCTTATCATTTGTTATCGTAGCTGAAACAAGATAATAATGAATATATGGCGAAAAATAAAGAATAAAAACATCTTTATTGGCCCGTAATCGGGCATAGTATGGCATTTTACCTGTTCCTAGTGTTCTTAAAATCAGACGTAATGATGTCGGAGTTGGTTTTGTGTCATCATGCATTTGTTCTTGCTCGTCATCGTCTGTGGATCGTTTGAGATAAGAGAAACGACGTTTACGGGAATGTTGATCGTAGAGAGGCGTCGAATTTAATGGAAGAGGTGGTGGAGAAGATGCTGATGAAGTTGTTGACGAACGGGTAGCAGGATGATGATTAGAATATTGTCGTCGTGATTCATAACGAAGAGATGGTTTTGTGTCGAATGACGATGTCGGAAATTCGGGAGACCTAAAGTAGAAGCAAAACGCATAACTATAATATGATGGCTGCGAATCTGAAAGTTTTCTTTTTGAAACAGTGATGTTTATCGTTGTGGAAAAGAAATATCTCCGTAGGAACAGATAAACAGAGTTTCATTCTTCTCTTCCGATCGATCACCCATTACGCATTCATACAGCAAATCATACATACTCAGGTCGTTTTACTTGAATTTTCAATTTTCCTATTCTTCCATTCTAAAAATAGTACACATTTTTCAATGATCAAATGCTCAGTAAACAAAATAACAAACAGTTACCTTTGTATTTCGTCGTTCACTGTGATATGTTTCTAATAAAAAACGAAAAATAATTTTTTTCTCTTATGATCCTTGCTCAGATTAGTTTCAGTGACATTCTTACTTGTTGTGAATAATGGAGAAGACTCTGACCATTGCTGCTGTGTATCAGTATGATTTGAATATTGTGCATTGGTTTTATTTATAATTGATGGTTTTATATCGATTTTTGGACAACCCAAATCATATAAAATATTCAAAATTCCTAAGAATAAAAACAAATGAGAAGGCATAGGCTAAGTTTTGTTGCGTGCAACGTACGGTGATGATTGTAAACTAGACGTTCGTATTCATCGGCAGATAAAAACCGGGATATTTGATGTAATTCAGATCTAAGAGAACACAGATCTTAACAATGAATTCAATTCTTGTTTTATATCTTAAGATAAATATAAAAAACGAGCTGTTGTATTTTTGTTTACTTTTTCATTCGTGGTTCATCTTCAGATCGTTCATCGTGATCCATGGCGGTTCCATTTGCATGGCTTTCTGACGGTCCATCCTGATCTTTTAAAGACGGTGATGTGGATAGTGTTGGTTGTTCATAGGTAAGTCCGCATGCGTAATCTCGCACATAATCTTTTAATTCGAATCGTCGACGTAGCACTTCTCCATAACCACGAATTAACGCTAATTTTGCTTCTGAATGTTGAAAAAAAAATCAGTCAGAAAAACGCCTATTTTCCAAGAAAATATTACCTTTTAATAATTCGTCTTCTTCTTCATCGCTGTCGATTGTCATTCCAGGTATACGATTTTCAGCTTCGTTAAAATATTCCTAAAAAAAAATCAGCGAAAATTTAAATCTGACACTGTAGCTATACTATTGTTTTGATAAACAAAACAAAAATAAGTTTTTTCGACTTGAATAAATATTTCTTTACTTTTTCATACCAGAAACCATAGAAAATAGACACTTGGGTGTACTCGTAAAAAATAGAATTTAAATTTTCTGCCTACCCTTTCATATTCATCTCTAGCTGGCATATAAGTAAGTAATCGTTGTTTGTCTGTTGATAATAACATTGGTGGATAAATAATGGATGAATTTATGAATTGAGTTTCTGATAGATCTTTATCCGATGATATATCATTTTTTAACTGGGGCTTTTGACATTCGGAAAATGGAAAATTCCATATACCATTTTTCAAATAGAGTTTTTCAAAATGCTGACGGCATTCGTCAGCAGATCGCTTTAGACGCTGGCCAACATCGACCCAATTTCCAAGCCCGCATGACTCGATTGTTTCAAGTAGATAAATCTCATCTGAATATAGCCATTGTTTTTCACCATCATATAATGGCATATCACAGAACTGCAAAAAACGACAACAAATAAATGTAAAGGTTGATTTGCGAAAAAACGTTATTCTACTGACAGATGATGTGTGTCTCTCATAAGAAAACGAATGAATTTAACTTCTATTTTGCGTTGATTAAGTCCAAAACATCGAATTAAAATTAGATCACAAGTTTTAATATTTGAGGACGCTTGTATATGATAAGCGCGTATCTTAAGAGTATTATTTTAAAATTTCTTTTTTAGAGTGTAACTTCTAAGCTACTCCCGAGTCAGTCACAAATATACTGCTGATAAACTAATTGCTGAATATCCTACAATTCTTAATAAGCCAAACCTACTTTGTTAATAGCATTTGGATGTCTTTGCGCATGAGTTTTAAATTCTGGAACATATAATGCACACTAAAATAATTAAAAATCAGAATATGCTAGTACACAAATATCAATAGAAAATAGTTAAACAAAAGTACCTTTCTGCAAACTCTTATTGGTCTTGGACACTTTGAACAGGAAATTACTATCGATGGAGGACACGAACAACAATAATCACATATAAGAGTCGCCGATGAGGAAGAATGATTCGACGAGTTTAAACTTGTAGTGGCATTGCTCGACATTCTAATTTACAAATCTTCAAAAACAAAAAGTGAATTTTACTTTTCCATACAGACAGATACGTTGTCATATTAGTACTACAGTGATATATTTGATAAACAATTTACAACAAAAATCAGCGGGTCAGCTAAGATTCAACTGTTTATTGCAGGGAACATTTTATTTAGCAACAATTTTATGGGAAAATTTAAGCTCTTATAGCAGAAGTCCAACGAAAGACACTTGTCTTGTGAAACTAGAATTCATTTTTTTCTGCACTATAATCAAACAGATAAGAGGAAGTTCTCGAATTGATACTAGAACGTGGTGCACAGAAATGTGAAGAAGAAGCTGAACAAAAAGTACACGGTATTAGAGGATGTAAAAGTAGAAGCAAATTTTATATGGTACATCGTTCAGAAAAGGACCTAATTCTTAGTTTTTTGGCTTTAATCAAGGATCGTACAAAACAGTTGTATTCGTGTTTGTCCGCAAAACATGGAAAAATGGCCGTCAGATAGTTCATGAACATAAGAAAAGAGAAATAAACGCTAGTTTCATAACATTTTCAAAATATAGGGAAGACAACATCAGCCATCATCTTAAACATGATTAAATTACCAGTATTACCTGAGAAAAGTCAATTGCAAGAGATAGCAACACGTTACAGTACGATATAGGCGGAAACATTTTCTTAAACAAGTGAAACTAGTTAGGCTGATTATTCACTGAAGAAACTATACTGAAACAGATAATTAACCATCAATTGCCTATGAGCAGTTGAGCTCTAGGATCCTAAGGGTTTCACTAAACTCTGGCGTCCTATCGATTTGTGAGTTGCTCTGTATGTGAAACGGTGCGTGAAAGTTATGACAGATTCTACGTAGAATCAGTAGGACATCTGAAAGATTAGGTGTAGGTCTGACAGTTTAAGTCAAGGAAACGATCCAGTCGTAGATGAGTGTACCTAAGTTTGGAAAGTAACCCCCAAAACATGAAAAAACGGTCGTAAATGTTTTTGGAAAGATGTGCAATGAAAGTGGCTTTTTTTTTCATTATGAACATCAAAATTTTTCCCTTGACTTTAGTCTAGGATCTTACCAAATGGTTGGCTGTGTGTCTGTGTTTCTGTGCGCAAAATACGGAAAAATGGCTGTCAGATATTCCATAGATAACCCAATCACAACAGACAAAAGTAGGAAGATGATGAGAAAGAACGAGAAAGTAAATACTGGAAGAGATGACCCGAAATATTTACCAATTCAACGAGAAAAAAATTAAGAAACCTTCTTTTGTAGTCCGCAGAGAGATGCCGCCAGAAATCAGTGAGTTTTGATAACACAAAAAATTCATCTACAGACTTTTCGAATACAGATAGTCTATGAGAGCAAGTCTCAAATCTTTGAGCCGTGTTGGGATCGTCAGAGGTTGTCTAGAAAACTGTTTAGCTTTAAACCATTGTCCATCCCAAAAAACAATGGTCCCCGTTGTGTTTTAAATAATTTTTGATAGAAAAATGATCGAAATTGGCGCTTTTCAGATTTGAAAATTAGACACTTGAAGCTACATTTCTCTAAACAAAATCGATATTTGAAAATGTGTCTGAAGCCGGTTTTTCAGAGAATCTTTGGACAACCAATTTGATGATCATGTACAAAAAAATGGTTGAAGCAAAGAATACGCCGACAATGGCTGCAACAAATGAAAGAACAGTCATTAC